AGGGGACAGTATAGATAATGAGTTTGGTGCAGACACGACGGACGTTTCTGGCAGCATTCTCTCCGAGAATTGCATTCTCAAGTCGACTACCGAAACTGCATCACCAGCAGCTGTCGTTGCCCTTGGCGTGACAAACGATATTAGCTGCTTCGAGTGCCCAGAGTCGATTGTGAAAAGGAGAGCGGTTGAGAGACAGAATGGCTTGTCTCTTCTTCATATTTTTTTCATATTTACCTCCAGTGCTGTTTCGTGCTGAGCGGCGTCGCTGCTCGGTGACACGGATCGTCTCCTGCTCCTCGCTGTCCAGACTGGAGAGGCTGACGCTCTTGTTGGTGCAGTCCCCGCCAGCACTGGCATCGTCCACAGCTGTCCATGACTTTCGTCGATCCGTGTGCAGCAGCAGACATTGTTGGGGCGCCGTGGAGGACCACATGGCGTAGGCATGGGAGGAGGCATTGTTGCCGTTGGGCCCATTGCCACTGAGGTCGGGCAGAGAGGCGCTTAGAATGGCTGCACTGAGCAGGCCATGATTGGCGAGGCCCTCCTGCATATGCTGGCCACTGGAGGAGGAGTTCTTCATCTGCACCACCGTTTCACGGATGTTCTGCAGCTGGCTGAGGGTGTCCTCAAATATGTTGTTGTACTTGGAAGCCAGGGCTGGGCTGTGCGGTGTTACATTGATGATGGGAATCATGTTATGGATATTGTTGTTGCTGCTGGTGTTGTTATTATTGAGACAGGCAGGAGCAGGAGTAGGAGCAGGAGCAGCTGTCGAAGTTGGAGGCAGAGTTGGGAGAGCAGGTGCGTTGATTACAGGTATGCAATAGTTTTGGCTTTCTACAGTGACGCGCCCCGTGGAGCCACCATTGATGACGGACGCGGTGCTCGGAGGCTCAGTCTCGCTGCAGTTGGAGTTTAGGAAGTCGGTGACCACATCGTTGTCGCTGTCGTCGCCTCCGTTGTCCATAATAGGGCTAGAGTGGTTTGCTTTTGCTTGTTATTCAGTGGTGGCCCTAGAAAACGAAAAAGAAAGTTTAGTATACAATATGCACGCACACACCTGCACGCATGCCCACACATACACACACACAACGACAGCGGGAACAACAACAGCAGCCAGCAACACTCTTTCGCATGCACTATTTATTGATTTTCTTTTGATTCAACCCTCGGATCACGTCTGTGCACCTTGTTGCGCGCGGGGTAAATTGTTGCGCCTTTTTAAGGACGACACTTGTCCTTGCACAAGTGGAACAGCAGCAGCACAGCAACAACAATGGAGTGGGTGTAAAACAATGCAAACTAAAGCAACTGAGAGGGCGGGGGAGCGAGGGTACACTGTTCGTTGTATTTATTCGAAAACTAAAAAGAGCTAATAGCTATGAGATATTTTCACAGTATAAATGCTATTTGAGACACATTATTTGTGGTTTTTTTTTAAGATGCGTTTTGCCTATCGCTAGGTCGCGACGGGCTATCGTTATCGTAACGTAGATGTGACCATGATACCATTGCCCAGTAAACCAACGCACAGGTGTTTTGCGTGGGTCGCAAGCGAGAGTTTTGCAATTTAAATTCGTGATGTTAACTAACATAGACCAGTCCCTAAGAATTTGGTTAGGAGTTTTCAAACTTACCCACTTGAATACAAATCCCAATTATACATATCAGATATCATATTTCCATATTTTTCTTTTCCAAATGCGAGGCAAGCGTTTAGTTTGCTGGGTTATTTCATTACATGACCAACACTGTCTCAGTGGGAACTATGCAACACTGAAGATTTGGCAGTGAAGGAGACAAAAAATATACAAAATATATTAGATTAGACATTTGATTTAAAAATCTTTTAGTGATAATTTTGCTGGTACATTCAATCGTATCCAACCACCAACCATGCAGGTGAGTGATTCATCGTTTCTCTGAAGCGTTTACCCCCAGCCGGCCAATGTAATGCCTTGCCAACGACGGGCTGCGACGTAGGCAAAGGGACACGCAACCAGAACAAATAGGAGTAAAGAAATTGTAATAAATTTTGTTTTCGTTTGCAGTATGTGGCCGTGGCTAGGCCATGGTGGCTGCTGTTCGTGCTGGCGATCCTTGGGTATGGCGTGGTGGACTGCTTCTATGTGCCCGGCGTGGCGCCGGTTGAGTTTGTCCAGGATCAAAAAATCGATGTGAAGGCTGTGAAAATGACCAGCAGTCGCACCCAGCTGCCTTATCAGTACTACTCGTTGAGGTTTTGCAATCCGAAAAACGGCACATTCATCTTCAAGTCGGAGAACCTTGGAGAGGTGCTGCGGGGAGATCGTATTGTGAATACTCCCTACGAACTGAGGATGAATCAGCAAATCAACTGCCGACTGTTGTGCAATCAGAAGGACAGACCGCTTAACTGGAGCAAAGAGGACTCGGCCCTGGTGGCGGAGCGTATCCAGCACGAGTACTTTGTCCATCTGCTGGTGGACAACCTGCCGGTGGCCACCAGAATTGTCAACGCGAACAATCCGTCCGAGGTGACCTACGAGCATGGCTATCGACTGGGCCAGGTGGATGGCGAAAACATTTACATCAACAACCACCTCAAGTTCATTCTGTCGTACCACATGCACTCGAAGGGCAAGTATCGCGTTGTCGGCTTCGAGGTGGAGACGGTTTCCGTCAATCACAAGGAGCTCAAGTTCCACGGAGAAACTTGCAACTTTCCGGACAGCGCACGGCCGCAGCTGGTGAATCCAACGGGCGAGACGCAGCTCTACTTCACGTACTCCGTTGAATGGAAGGAGTCGAAGGTCAGCTGGGCCTCCCGATGGGATATATATCTGGGCATGCGAGACGTTCAGATCCATTGGTTCAGCATCATCAACTCTCTCGTTGTGGTTTTCTTCCTCTCTGGCATTCTCACCATGATCATGATCCGCACCCTGCGCCGTGACATCGCCCGCTACAACACGGACGACAACATCGAGGACACCCTGGAGGAGACTGGCTGGAAGCTGGTGCATGGCGACGTGTTCCGTCCGCCCAAGAACACCCGTCTGTTCTCCGCCATCATTGGTAGCGGCATTCAAATATTCTTCATGGCTTTGATTACCATATTCTTTGCCATGCTGGGCATGCTCTCGCCCTCCTCCCGTGGCGCTCTAATGACCTCGGGCATCTTCATGTATGTGTTCATGGGCACCATTGCCGGCTTCTATGCGGCACGGCTCTACAAGACGATGAAGGGTCGCGAATGGAAGCGTGCAGCTTTTCTCACAGCCACCCTCTACCCGGGCATTGTCTTTGGGTGAGTTTTAAAACAAAGAATAGCCATCTTCATCTATCCATTTATTATTTATTATTATCTTGCAGCACCGGTTTCTTCTTGAATTTCTTCATTTGGGACAAATCCTCGAGCGGAGCTGTGCCCTTCACCACTATGATCTCTCTGCTGTTGCTTTGGTTCGGCATTTCTGTGCCGCTGGTCTATCTCGGCTTTTACTTTGGCTACCGCAAGCAGCCGTACCAGCATCCAGTGCGCACCAACATGATACCACGGCAAGTGCCCGCTCAGCACTGGTACATGAATGCAATCCTGAGGTGAGCTTTGGTGTCATTCGAATCTTTGCACTGCTTTGACTAATCTTCTGCCTTTTCAGCACTCTAATGGCTGGAATACTTCCCTTTGGGGCTGTCTTCATTGAGCTCTTCTTTGTTTTCACGGCCATCTGGCAGAATCAGTTCTACTATCTGTTTGGCTTTCTGTTTCTGGTGTTTTGCATTCTAGTTGTAAGCTGCGCCCAGATCTCCATAGTCATGACTTATTTCCAGCTGTGTGGCGAGGTAGGACTTGGTTTAATCGTTGATTGCTTAACTGCTTAATTGATTTATGTTTGTGCAGGACTATCGCTGGTGGTGGCGCAGCTTCATTGTGTCCGGCGGCTCGGCAGTTTATGTGCTGTTCTATAGCATATTCTACTTCTTCACAAAGCTGGAGATCACAGAGTTTATACCCACGCTACTCTACTTGGGCTACACAGGTAAGTGCAAAAATCTCTACCTTCAAAACGTTCGTAATGAAATCCTTTTCCATTAGGTCTCATGGTGCTCACTTTCTGGTTGCTGACCGGCTCGATTGGTTTCTTTGCTGCCTATGTTTTCATCCTGAGGATTTATGGGGCTGTGAAGATTGACTAAAAAGGATTTCCACCCCCCTCTCACAACGCTGTGCACCAAACTATCCCCGCAATATCATTCGATCATAAACATATTTATAGAGAAACTTGTACAAGTGTCGTCCCCTCAACAGCTGCCCCCGAACCTCCACTACCGTGTAAAGTGTGCAAACGTTTACCCCTTCCAGAAGGAACCACATACGAAACTAATTGAGTAGCCTGAGTAACTACTGAGACGACACGTTGCTAAGTATGTCTCCCCACGCAGGGAGGTGGCTCAATTCGCGAGAGCATTGCGTTTAGGAGACGTTATAGAAATGCCTAATTTATACATTTATGTAAAGAATCTAATCTAAGCAAAAGGAAACGAAACGATATAAACAAAAAACTAAATCAAATAAACTACGCTTAACTCTTGTAATTTCATTGGGTGTGCTGCGGACTCAGAGAGATATTTTCCAGCGATTTGAATGACAATCTGAATGATTTAGTGTTCAATCTAGCCACCCCTGAAGTTGTGAGAGTGCACTTTACATCCAGCGCCATCGATCTCAATTCCAGGCTTCGGTTGCAGTTAGCTGCACAGCAAGATTTATATTTATGGATCGTTTATTTTATAAATTGGCATAGATAATTGCTATTAGTATTTTACATTGATTAAACTTAAATATAAGTTCCGTTATCTATATAATTTAACCGTATACAAGTTCAACCCATGGGAGCTGACAAATTAGTTTAACTTTAGTTAATGCAAGTTCCTATGTAGTGGGGATTTCGGAGAGCGGGAAGACCATGCCTTCTCCATCTTTACGCCACAAACTTTTTGCTGTTCTTTCTTATGACTTTTATGAAACCGAACTATCCGCAATGCCATATAATCGTGCAAGACTAGAAGGACTTGCATAAAATATGGTCCAACCAAAGCACACATAAGGTGACAGTTACTTCTAGCCCAAGGAGAGCACTGCCTGCACTGCTTGCGGTTTCGGATGGAAAACTACGAGTAGGTTAGGAATTACTTTTCCCTTTGATTTCTTTGCACAACACACATTGCTATTGCTAGAGAAGGATTTACGTTTACTTAATAATAAAGGTTAGATTCTAAATTCCATGCGGGAACAACCAAAACTGTGTTCTATATCTCCCGTTGCCTCTGTCCTTTCTGGGCACTCCTCCTTTGTGTGTTGGGAGGTGTGAACTTCCTTGAAAAGTGCGCTTTAAGTTTTTGGCGAATCGGTTTACCTCATGGGGTTCCGATTCTTTAAACGCTAGCGATTCCTTTTGGTTTTGCGACTGACATTCCCCTCGATGATGATCTGTGCAAGCAAAGTAAATAATTTAGTTTTAGTTTTTTTTTTTATTTAATCGCTACAGCGAAATTGGATGGTCCTCGTTGCGTGGCCCTCTTCGATCTTTTTTGAGAGATTTATCAAGCTACAGCCAGCAAACGAAAATAAACAAAGACTAGGAACCAAGTACCAGTCCCACGCTCGTGTCCAGCCTAAAGCGGGAGTCTATAAGCGGGACTGGGACTTCTTTCTTGATTTCTTGGGTGCATTAATTGCTAGATCATAGGGACACTTGAATTGCTGTGACGTTAGGGATAGGGATTTAGGTTCAGATTAAGTCAGATTCACAGACTGTCAGCGATTGTCCTACCTGTAGGATCTGGCTGGCCTCGAAAGCTGTGCCCGGCAGCAGGATCACGGGTGAAGTCACATTGCCCGCCTCCACGCATAGCATGTTGGGGAACTCATCATCGCCAAAGTCGCTCATCTCTCGCGATCGATCGATCCAGGGATTCCAGATGACTGAAGACGAATGTTCAATAAATATACACAGATTCTTCCCGACTCCCCATCGACTCACCTGTGTCGGGGAAATTGTACTTGTGCAGTCTCATCTTGCGGCCGGAGACGACGTTGGTGATGACGTGCTCCTGCGGTGTGTGCTGGTAAATACGATCTGTCCACTCGTTAACGGTTACCACCTCGCGTCCCTCCTGGTACAACGCGTTTTCCCGCGTCTTATCGATAAAGTGGCAGCCGTGCAGGCCCGTGATCTGACAGCGGCGCACATCGGGCACCTTCAGATAAGTGTGCAGCAGCATGTTGAAGGAGAAGCTCAGCTCCTTGCTTGGATTGTAGACGCCAATGTGAAAGTGAAGCTCCTTCTCGCGCAGAATGAGGCGGTAGGTGATGCGAAATCTACGTTAACAGGGGAACAGGTTCAGTTCATACAAGAAATCTTTTGGTTCTATCGTCCACCTACTGGTAGTTCCAAATGGAGCGCGTGAACTCGTTGTCCATCAGCGAGAATATGGCCTCGACGTCGCCGTTGTGCAGCCTATCCGGCGCACGCTCCAGATGCCACCGCGTGATCCTGGCGAATCCATGCTGCGGCCCAAACGACCAAGGTCCAAACTGAGCTGCAAGATCAGAGGAAAATGCTTTAGGAACGGCTTCTCCTGTCACCTTTAAAACTTACGAAAGACAAAGGGAATCCCGCCACGTATCGCCTTCTTGCCATCAAATGAGGCCAGCTTGCTGCAGGGAAAAGACGGGCGGGAAGAAGAAAGAGTCGATTAATTCGGTAAGAGCTGCTCGAAAATATTTCAGCCATAAAAACGTTAGCAGACATCTCATCGCCCCTCCGTCCCGGGGCCCAGACATTCAGAAATGCTATTAGCAGAAAAAAGTGTCTGGCAAAATGCTCCTTGCCCCTTTTTTATGTTTTTTTGTTGGTTTTTTGTTTTGCTTCTTGTTTTTCCCCTGGTTGCTGATGCGGCGACGACGTTCCCGGAGTCGAATCTGGGACCTGCTTTGCCTTTCTTCCCAGCTAATTTGCCGGCGCATCCATCAAGCAGTTCAGTTCAGCTCCGCTGCTGCTGCTGCTGCTTCTGTGCATCATTTGTGAGCTGCTCCTTCAGTTGTGGAACGCATTTGACATGGCAATTGTCATTAATATTCGTGTCTTGGGTTCGAGATTTGGTGCAGGGAGAGGGGTGTTTAGGGGATCTTACGATTTCGATGCATGCACAGTGAGTGATGAAATAATTCGGTCAAGAAGAATATTTGTATGTATTTCTTTAGATTATAATCTCGCTCAGGAGGCTATTAAAATATTATTTTAGACAAACTCAACAGTTTCGCTTTTCCATATTGTTTCAATCCCACTTTAAGCTTGTATTTCATTTTTGTTAACGAATACCTAGACAATACCAGCTACAAAATACCGCCTACAACTCGCTATTTCCAAGCTATTTCCAATCTGTTTGTGTGTTGCACTCTTTTTATTACACACAATAATAATTGTGACATTGTCAAAATAATTCCAGTAAAAGTCTGTTGCTTAAGCAGCAAAATACATTTGTTCATCACTGTATGGAGTGGGTATAATTCTCATATTTTAAAGGTTTCTTTTTGGCATGTTTTTCTTTTATTTTTGTTATTTGAAATCGTTGAATGTATTTAAATGTTCTCTGTACAACTATTGTAATTCATTTAGTTTTCAGCTTCATCCTCTCATTGCCATGGCCCCCAAACGTCTGGAGTTTTTAGTGGGTTTCCAAATGCCACTGAGAGCCAGCCACAAAAACAGTCGAAAAGTAGCGGCAGAGCAGACGACGCCCCGCACCCACCTTGGCGAGAGGAGTGAGCTGGAGCGAATAGTAAAAGTGTGTGTGTGTGCATGTGGGAGTAGCAGCTGTGTGTGTTCTTGTGAACAACAACAAGCACCAAAACTTACGAAAGTGGGCTCAAGAAAACAATAATTGAGAATGGAAGTTGACGTGTTTGCTCCACTGTGCCGGCAAATGTGCAAGATAGTGGAGAGAGCAGAACAAAAACAGACGGGAGCAGAGCTGCAGTGGGGATTTATCGATCTAGCTCTGCCGCGCCAAAAACTCCATTCATAAAAACTAGCACATTGTTTTGCCACAGCGTGGTCGAGGAGTGGACGCAGAGAGAGGGGAAGAGCGGAGAGCAGCAGCAACAGTGCGAAAAAAGAGGTCTCATAATGGATGAGCAGGCGGAGAGAGGAGGAGAGAGAGAGGCAGTGCAACTTTTCGTCGCTGCTGTCCAGTGTTTGAATGCAAGCGCGGCACTGCAGTGCACATTCCCTATCCCTATCCGTTCCCTTTCTGTTTTGGTTCGGTTTGGTTCGGTTCGGTTCGTTGATTCGACGTTTGGGGCCGTCGCTCGGTCCCGACATGTTTTTTGTTGGGTGTCATACAAAACATTTTGCCGCCAAACAGAATGGCTAAGGCTGCACCTCCTCCCCTTAGTCGGTTCACGTCCTTTGTGGCCAGTTCTGCCTTTTTGCCTGCTCCCCCCTCGCTCGGTGCGGTGCGTTGTGTGTTGGAAACTTTGCATCTCACTTTTTTGGTTGCATGACCAGCGAATACCGTTGGCTTGCGTAAGTTTGAGCTTAAAGTCGGGGCTGCTCGGGCGGATGAGCAATGCGAGTGCTTAAAGTGTGCGAACGAGGGTTCAAAGAGCTTAATTCCCTCTCAATTATATTGTCTTTGGTTCTACTCACCTAACGAACAACTGCTCCTGGTTGTTCACTCGCCAGGAGACAACTGTGGCACCTGCAAATAAAAATTCAGAATTGCGAAATGATTATTATTTACTTTTTTAAATTATTCTGGGATAAATGTAAGCAAAACCTCTGATGGAAGAAGAATGAGAGTTAGTTGACTGATCTGAGGCATATCAATAAATGGTTTGACTCAAAGTTTGATCAACTATAAAACTACAGCCATCGACAGTGGCCCAAGTACATGACGCACACACTTCTAACCCACATATCCAGACCCAGACACAGACACATACAGCCCCGACGTACTCGTAACTGGCCTGCAACTAAACTGGCTGAGACTGAAACTGACTGAGACTGACTGGAGACGAGCGAGCCAGTTGAGACAGCCGCAGAGGCATACGCTTATGGTACAGTTAAATCTTGCTTGGCATCGCTTTGGCTCTGACTCTGTAGGATGGATGGGGATGTGGATGTGGCCTACGGCCAATTGGTGGGTGCACACTTGATGGGTGCGTGGGCGTCGCTGCTGGCGCTGTTGGCGCTGTTTTGGCTGTTCCCAAAAAACACTCTTCGGGCTGGCCACAATGCTTGATGAGATTTGTTGAGCCGGAGCCAGAGCTTCGACTGTTCGGCGATTCGGATTCCCAGATGAAGGAAACAAACAAGTGGAGTTTGGCCAAAGCGCACTCTAAAACTTGTTGACAACGGATCGTTCATGGGCAGTACCGTCGCTAGGTTCCGCTGTTGGTGCCAACTGTGCTGTGTCTCTGTCTGTTGCTCAAACTACGACGACGACAACGACGACGAACCCGACGTGGGTAGGCCAGACAGAGCCAGTCGTAATTGTTGAAAGTACGCTGGGTACACGCATACAAGCATAGGTGCACACACTCGAATAGAGAGACATACACACACCTACATTAATACGTGTGCTATATAGAGGAATATAAATACATATACATAACGCCTAATCGAAATTTTCTGCGAGTAGGAGCCGCTTCCAAAGCCGGCGCTGTATCTGAAGCTGATCCCATCGTCTGGGAGCAACTGCTACCCCAACCCGTTACCCCCAACGGCTCTTAGTGCTTATCGAAGGGGGATCTTGGCCGATAAGATAGGCCACAGGAAATCTAATTGAAAGCTCTCTCAAGAGTGCAGCACATCGACAAGGTTGTTCTTAGTACAAACTGATAACCTCTAGAGGTCGCCTCCGATGGGCAATACGATTTCTACGTCAATGGGGGCGGAGAAACGAGTTTTAACTCTGGAACTCCCCATAAAACGAAAGTCTATAAAGTGTTCTGTTCTGGTTGTTTTTGGCTAATCATGCGCTAAAAATAACGCCAACGACTCTGGCGAGGCGTCAAACAGATATTGCAGAATCGGCGCTGATTGTTGTTCATTCCAGTTGTCGCTTTTTTTTGTTGTGTGTGTTTTTGGTTAATTATGATTAATTGTGCTTTTTGGCCCTCCCGTCCCCTCTCGTAGCGCTTACCATGCAAGTTGATGGTGCAGGTCGTATTATTGCCACGATCCAAAACGACGACGCTGGTGGCAGCCATGGCTGCCGCTGTCGTGGCCATATTTGTTTTCTGTACTAACGGTTTTTTTCTGGAGCCTTGACTGCGCCCTCTGTCGGGTGTAACTGTTGTCCCTGTTCTGGGCTGTATTTATTTGTTGATAAGTGTAACTTTCGGGCATGTAACGCCAGGTAATCTTGATTCGAATTTGAAATGGTCTTTCGCCCGGATTGCTGAGCTTAGTGTCGATTGAACTTTAATTTGCGCATTTACATAATGTTTGCAAAAATTATTCTGCACACAAAGCCAACCCAGCGCTCGCACTCGCACTCACACTCTCAGGACTAGTCGCACGGCTACACAAGCGCGCCACACAACAACAACACACACACACACAGGTTCACACGCGTGTACGGAGAGCAGCTTCAGTTTTTGTCAATGAACAAATATACGTGAAAAAAACTCGTGCAAAAAACGTTGCGACGCGGAGCGGCGCTGTCCTAGCTTGCGATGTGGCGGAGACAGTTTCCCGATTGAAACTAATACCGGTTCCAGTGGAGCACATATTCTTCGTCGGATGGTCGAATGGCGCGAACCGAACCACGTCGAAATGACACGCGCAGAGACCATTCCCATTTGAAATTAAAAAATCGAAGCTCTTTCCGTTACAAAATATTTCACGAAATTTAATTATCGTAAATGATCTTATCTAATCAGTATATGTTTTCTCATTCTGATAAAAGAAATTGAGCCACGAAAAACGTATACTTTTTGTGCCAATACCCACTGTACTTATTGTCAAATAACCCATAAGGAGCACATAAACGCCAAAATGAGAAACAGCTGATTGTATATCGATAGCTTACGTAGAAAAATGTGCAACTATTTATATATTTTTTGTAGAATATTGTAAACGCAAGTGTTAATTGTGCATTGAGCTTTATTTTAACTATTATTTTTGCAGTGTACGCATTTTTTATAAGCGAGTTTATATATTTAGGGAGTGCACTAACATCCCTTATTTCCACTGATTACTCATTCGCAGCAATGTTGAGGCAGAGCAGTGTGAACCGAACGTAAGATAACATTACATACGAATAAGAAGAGGAACTGCTAAAAAATATTCTGTCGAAAAAACGGGTTAAAATAAATACAGTAAAAGCAACAAATCCAGTAAAATGTCACGAAAAATGCCCAAGTTTTACAAGCTGGACATAAATCGCACGGAGTGGGAAATACCGGAGACATACCAGAGCCTCCAGCCTGTCGGGCAGGGCGCCTACGGACAGGTGTGCAAAGCTGTTGTCCGGGGAACCAGCACAAAGGTAGCGATAAAGAAACTAGCACGGCCCTTTCAGTCTGCGGTGCACGCAAAGCGGACGTACCGTGAGCTACGTCTACTTAAGCACATGGAGCACGAGAATGTGATCGGTCTCCTGGATGTCTTCCATCCCGGACAGCCCGCCGACTCGCTGGACCAGTTCCAGCAGGTGTACATGGTGACGCATCTGATGGACGCGGACCTTAACAACATTATACGCACGCAGAAGTTGTCCGACGATCACGTTCAGTTCCTGATATACCAGATCCTAAGAGGCTTAAAGTATATCCACAGTGCCGGGGTGATCCATCGCGATCTTAAACCGTCAAATATCGCGGTGAACGAGGACTGCGAGCTACGCATCTTGGATTTTGGTCTGGCCCGACCCGCAGAAAGCGAGATGACTGGCTATGTGGCCACGAGATGGTACCGGGCACCGGAAATCATGCTCAACTGGATGCACTACAACAAGACGGTGGACATTTGGTCTGTGGGCTGCATAATGGCCGAGCTCTTGACCGGACGCACCCTCTTCCCCGGCACCGATCATATTCATCAGCTGAACCTGATCATGGAGGTGCTTGGCACGCCCGCAGAAGAGTTCATGAGCCGCATCTCATCGGAGAGTGCCAGAAACTACATACGCTCGCTGCCAGTGATGCCGCGAAGGAACTTCCGAGACATATTCCGTGGTGCCAATCCCCTGGCGATTGACCTACTGGAAAAGATGCTCGAGCTAGATGCTGATCAGCGCATCACAGCCGAGCAGGCGCTGGCCCATCCGTATATGGAGAAGTACCATGACCCTACCGACGAGCAGACAGCGGCCTTGTACGACCAGAGCTTCGAGGAGAACGAGCTGCCCGTGGAGAAGTGGAGGGAAATGGTGTTCACCGAGGTGCAAGCCTTCAGGCCCACTCAGGCCTTCGCCGAGCTCCTTCCGAAGGATCCATAAATAAAAAATCCATTGAACGAGATGCTATAATTTTAGATCAGTCGTAACACCTAGTTCAAGCGGATGTTCTCAATCGTGATTTTTGTATTCATCGAATGTAAACAGTCAAGGACATTTATCTTAGAGCGTTTAAAGTGTTGCTTCTTCAGTTTATATTTAGAATTAACGTCGAGCGTTGCGTAGAAACAAAAGAAAAACGAAACAAATCGAACAAATCAAACGAATGATGAGAATGTATTTTCGAACCTGTAGCGACTATCCTCGACTTGCACTCGATCAATAAAGAGATTGCGATTGAAACTCTAGGTACACAAAATACACAAATATTGTAAAAACATAAAAAAAGAATGCAGAGTTAGTGTCACAGCCTTACTGTCCAGTTCAACTTTTTGGTGTTGGTTTTAACAAATAATTGTGAATAGTCTTGTAAATGTAAATGTGAGTATGCATGCCAGAAAATACACAATAAGATGTATGTAAATGGATGCATGGTACATCTTAGTCCATAAGCGAGCTCATCTCGCGGCCAGTAACTTTAAAAAGATCACTATTGTCTACGTTGAATCAAAAATAAACGTGCTATCTATTTTACATTAGAAGATCTTCCAGATAGCTTTCGAACTCTTGCTCCCTGGAGGGTTCCGCGACGACATCGGGCTGTTTCAGCCATATTTCGTCTTCCGCGGTGGTGTTGTCTTCCTCGCCTTGAATCTTCCTTCTTTCTTGTTCGGCTTCTGGCACCTTAGGTTCTTCCTCTTCATTATCTTCTTTCTCCTGGTCATCCTCGGCCGTATCATCCAATTTACGTCGCTTATTTCTTCTCACAGCTCTGCGCTCATCTTTCTCCCTACGTTTCTGCTTTTTGTGCTCCTTCTTCTTGGTGCGGTAGTTCAGTTGCTCCGTGTGCGTGGGACAAAGTCGCACCTGCAACAGTGAATAAATTGTATACTTCCAGAGATATCTCACATATTAGATCCTACCTTAACGAGCGCATTCATTGGCACGCCATGCTCCATGTACTTGAAGTTAACCTCCCAGCTGCGCAGATCTTTCCGCTCCACACAGTGGCGACTCCCACATTGGAATTGACCTGTTCCGGCGACAACTTCTTGCTCGGTACGCCAGCGGAGGGCTATCTTGTTATCTTTGTAGCGACTCAGGTCCGCAATGCAGTATTCCTTGAAGAGTTTCTTGTAGTAGCGCAGCGCCAGGCGCTGTTCCCAACTCAGCGATCCACAGTCAACTTCATCGTCCTCCCACAGAAAGCGGTGGTTCTCTCGGATGACATCGATGTCGCGCTTGTGCTTACGCGACTCGCTCTCGGCGGCGGTGTTGAGGACATAGTGGTTTAAAATGTAGTTGTGGCCTTCTTTGTCAGTTAATTTATTTAAATTTATGGGAAATAGCTGTGAGCTCATTGTTGTTTTTTTTTTTAATTTACTGACTGCTCGCGATAGTTACAAACCTTTTCGATGAATCGATAAAAGTATCGGTAATGAATTAAGTTATATTCCACATCTCATCTTTGCACTTGGATTTTTGCTACATTTGCTTGTTTTTGTGTTGAGAATTCGCGCCACACCCGATAAGATTATAAATATATAGATATATATATATATATTCCAATGGTTATTGGTGGCTGCAGTGGGAGGGGTTGAAAGTACCAATAGGTTTATAGTTGACGCCCATAAGTTGACGCCCAAGTAAAAACACTGAAAACATTTGCCAACGGGGGGAAAGTAAAACAACAATGGCTTGCAGATGCAGCCCCTTGTTCTTTGTGTTTCTGCGCAAAAACTTTCTATATTTGCGATTCAATTTGGTGCCTTTATTGTGCATCTTCATAGGATCAGCGGCAGTGCTCTGTGGATACCTGCACTGGTCAGTAAAGCCCGTGAAACACAATTTGGCAATTTGGTTCGAGGCAAAAGACTATGTGAGTAAGATAAGATAAAAAATAACATACATACATATGTATGCCTTATTCCATCTGTAAATGGTCGTGTGACTGTATTTGAGTGTAATTGCTATTTTCCTTTTCTTAGGCTACTCTTAAACAACTGTACTTCCCGGGAAACGATTTTGACTTTGTATATTTTGCACCCAGCAGTAATAATGTTGACGATATTATGGACATGGTGCGGCAGGAGCTGGAAATTCCCGCAGAGCGTAAGTTTGCAGACACCCGCCTAAACTCCGGAATATATCCAACTTTTCCCTGCAGGTTTTCGCATCTACAACAGCAGCTACGATATGCAGTTGGACATGGAGCAGAACTGCTTGGGCAACTGCTTTGCCATCAACTTTAATCAACTGCCCAACCGTGGCTCTGGTGGCATATTCAAATATAGTCTGAGCTCCAATGAAATGCGCATTTCGCCCAAGAAACGATACGTAAACGACGAAGAGATCAATCATCAAAAGGGTGTGTTCGTTGTTCTTCTTTCTTTAGATAATTTAACAAATTCTCCCTTTGTCCACTTTCAGATGATGACGACTACATACGGTCAGGTTTTCTGACGCTGCAGCACATACTGGATCGCCAGTATATGAAGTATCAGGAGCTGGACCCCAATTATGAGCTCCTGCTTAGTTCCATGCCCAACCTGGAGGTTAGCACCATGGATAGCCATCGTCTGACATACTTTGGCTCACTGTGTGCCATTCTCTTCAATGTCGTTCTGCTGAGCACCTTTGTTGTCGCCTTTGTGGAGGAGAAACAGAACGGGCTCAAGGAATTTCTGAATCTGGTCACTCCAATGAGTTTCCTGAACGGCCTTACCTTCTTTCTCATTCGCTTTGTCTGCTATGCAGCGCTGTTGCTATTTGTTCTCACCGCCGCCTACTTCTACAAAGCCCTGGGCCTGATTGGCTTCGTTTACATCGCTGTCCTGTATCTTCTCTATATATTGGCCACCATGTCATATGCGTACTTAATCTCTGTTTGCTTTCACTCAGGTAAGAATTGTCCACAGATTAATCTTCATCCTTCTGCTTATTTATTTTCCTTTTGCAGTTTTCTATGCGAAAATTGGCGGCCTGGTGATGCTAATCATTCCCTTTGTGTTCAGTTTTGTTCGCAGTTGGGTTACCTCTTTGGCCTTTTTCCTGTTCAGCACCAATGCCTTCCTCGAGGGCTTGGATGTGTTCCAGACATTCTCCAACAAACGTGAGCATCTCCACCAGCAGTAGCTTGACCTTGCCTCACCTACTTTTTTTTGTTTCCATCTTAGACCGCCACTTTGGGGGAGCGGACCTCTTCAGGGAGATCAAAGACGGCTCCACTCGCATGTTCTGGATCTACTCTACACTCATTGCTCAATCCCTACTCTACGCTTTGCTCTACAACTACATGGCGTGTGTTTTTCCCGGTCCTGGTGGACTCAAGCGACCTTTTCTGTTCTTCCTGGATGTAAGTGTGGCAACTGGCATGGCTTATCCTTTAAAATGCTAACAGATTTCGCTCACCTCCAGCCCAATACGTACAAGAAGCGACAACGCAACGAGTACACAACTGCACCGCGCGGCACACATGCCATCATCATCTCGGAACTGTGCAAGAAGTTCCAGACAAGTCAACGTGAAACGCTTATTTCGGACAATCTAAATATGACGATCAACAACAAGGAGATTACGGTTCTACTCGGCCACAATGGAGCAGGCAAGACGACGATGATGAACATGATTATGGGTCTGATTCCGAAGGATTCCGGCAAGATTGTTGTATGCAGCGAGCGCGATGTGGCCTCGTATCGCCATCTGATTGGCTTCTGTCCGCAGCACAGTGTTTTCATGAGCTACATGACGTGCTATCAGCATTTGGAGTTCTTTGCCCAGCTGCGCGGTTCACGCCGTTCGGAAGCGCGTCTTTGGGCCGATAACAAGCTTAAGAAACTGGGCCTCAAAGACAAGCGCGACGAGTACGGGCAGAACTTGTCGGGTGGAATGAAGCGGCGTTTGTCGCTGGGCATTGCCATTGCCGGGAACACAAAGTAAGTCTCTTCGAATTCTAGCTAAATGCGAGCAAAAAGTGTTATTTTATGTTGCTCAGAATTGTGATACTGGACGAACCCTCTTCTGGACTGGACATCGAGTCACGTCGTGAGCTGTGGGACATTCTGTTGAATCTGCGCAAGGAGAAGGCCATTCTGGTGACCACCCACTACATGGAGGAGGCCGAGGTGCTGGGAGACACCATCTGCATCTTGGCCAATGGAAAGCTGCAGAGCACGGGCTCCCCCCTAGAACTGAAGCGTAGATCGGGCATCGGTTATCGCCTAAAGCTGGAAGTCCCCGATTTCACATTCCGCGAACATGAAATAATGCAAATTATACAAGATTACGTGCCAACTGCCCGCGTGCTGGTAAGACTTTGCACACAATTCAGTTTGGGCATTAATCTAATCTTCATTTATAACAGAATGTGGTGAAACCCACAGTCGATATCTGCCTGCCTTATGCGCACAAGGCGCGCTTCTCGGAAATGCTGCTCAAGCTGGAGTCGAAGACAAGTGAGCTGGAAATAAATACCATTTCCATGACGGATACTACACTGGAAGATGTTTTTCTAAGGTAAGGGTAGAGTTTGATTAGCGCTTGACATGAAATCCATTAACCTTTTTCCGTGCAGATGTGCAGGCGAGCAGGATCAGGTCGATACTCCAGACGGCCCACGCAACGATGCGCCTCTACTGACCGCGCCCTACAAGCGGCTGCCCAGCCAGCATACGCCGCCCAGCATGTTTCAGCTTTGGCTGGCGATCTTCTACAAGAAGTGGAAATTCCTCACCAACAAGTGGCAATATGCTGTCATAATGGTAAACAGCTGCACGCTAGATTATTATCGATGTAACTCTACTTATCTTTATGTTATCTTTTCTAGCTGACCATTCCCTTTGTGTGCGTCTTTGGTGCCATTCTTGTGATGCATGCCATGTCTGTGGTTAAGAATGAGGCGGCGCTGCCGCTCAAGCTCAGTCAGATGGGTTCTGGTGTCGTTTATATATACAATCCGACGGGCCATCATCCTCAGGTTGAGCAGCAGCTGCGGCAGCAAATCGAACTAAGTGGACTCACAGCCAAAACGCTGCAGCTACGCGGAAGCAGTGTGAAAAATGGTGAGATCCCTTCCGTTCCAAGTACCAAACGAATGTCTTACATTAATTCTTTTATTCCGATTACATTTTGTATTGTTTTTCAGAGCTTCTCGAATTGCAACGGGACAACTTGGCGGACTTCCTCGAACAAGTGGTGGGCGCCATTGACATGTATGGCGGTGGCAGTGGCACTGGAGGAACTCCACAGATAGAAATCTTTTACGCGGGCAACCGCTGCCACAGCTCAGTGGAGTTGATCAACTTTCTGGACTCCAGCATGCTGAAGTTGGTCAGCCCAGAGTCGGACATTGAGGCCACATATGTACCAATTCGACGCTTCATCAGTGACATCAGTCCAACGCGATTGGAGTACTATGCGGTGATCGTGTCTGTGGGCTTGTTCTTCAGCATGTTCTACTTCATTTCGTTGCCCTTCCGAGAGCACGACAATGGCTTCCGCCAGCTGCAGACCATGTCGCGCTACACCTTCTGGCTGTCCACATTTGCGTTTGACGTTCTGCTGCTGGCGCTCCTCTGTGTGGCGCTGTTTGTGCTCCAGAACTGGCTGATGCCGTCGGAGCTCTACTCTGCCTCCGAGTTGAGAATCATCGTTATGAGCATATTCTTCTACGGCTGTAGCTACCTTCCCATTCTGTACTCGCTGGCCAACAACTTCAAGTCCATATCGACGATATCCACCTACCTGCTGCTCATGCTGATTGTGTCCGGTAATATTATCCCTACTTATGCCTTGCCACTCATCTGATTACTATTTGTGTGCCCTTGCAGCGATTGCTCCTCTGATCACCTCCAGCAATGCGCAGTCCATGAAACTGCACGCGACTAAGATAGCTTTTCTCTGCTTCCTGCCCGACTTCAATCTGAACCACCAGCTGCGCATCATCAATGAGAATTTCATTGCCAACCGAAGCTCTGTACCCGATCCCCATCTGCTGTCAACGGATACTTTCTTTGTGTATGCCGTGGCCGTCTGCGTGCTGGTCTTTTCGTTCTTCACGATCGTTTTGGAGCACAAGTACCTGCGCCAAAGAATTGGCGATGCCATTTGGATGAACAGGTGCCTGGTCACACTGAAGAAGAGCAGCTCAACGGGCACGAGTCCTAGCACCCAACTAACGGTGGTTGACGACTGCGCCAAGGAGGAGCGGCGAGTGGAGGAGCTCATGGCACATCCGTCGAAGGAGTTTCCCCTGATCGTGAGCAAAGTGCGTAAGCGGTACAACAAGAAAGTGGTCGTTGATGGAATCAGCTTTGCCGCATCTCGGGGCGAGTGCGTTGGCCTCTTGGGCGTGAATGGTGCCGGCAAGACGAGCACATTCCAAATGATTGCCGCCAACCTTGCTCTGGATGGCGGTAGCATACGAATCGATGGCATCGATATTCGAAAAGACGAAGTGGGCTATCGCCATCGCTTTGGCTACTGCCCCCAGTACGATGCACTGAATAAGTTCATGACTGCCGAACAATGCCTGCACTACATGGCCCTGCTGCGGGGTCTGAGCAGCACCAGCGAAGGACCGAGTAGTGTGAAGGAAAACGTGAAATACTGGCTCGAAAAGATGCACCTGACTAAGTACCAGCAGGTCCAGGTGCGGCATTATTCGGGTGGAACAAAACGCAAACTGCTGGCTGCCATGGCCATGATCGGGTCCCCGACACTGGTGCTCCTGGACGAGCCAACGACTGGGGTGGATCCCATTTCCAGACGCTTTCTGTGGCAGTGCATCAAGGAGTTTCAGGGCCAGGACCGCACAGTGGTGCTCACTTCACACAGGTGGGGGAAACGCTTGAGCATTTCAGCATTTGCCAATTAAATATTATCTTTGTTTTCACAGCATGGACGAGTGCGAAGAGCTGTGCAATCGTCTGGCAATTATGGCCAATGGGAAATTCAAATGCCTGAACAACATCTGTGCCTTGAAGAGACTGAGCGGCTTTACTATAAAACTTAAAATGAGACAAGATACGGAAACGGAGGAGAACGTGGACACAATCACAAACACACTGAAGGCGCAGTTCGAGGGTCTGGAGTTGCGGGAGAATCATGCCGGTACCCTAACCTACTTTGTTAGCACCCAGGAGAACTTGGTCTATTGGTCGAAGGTGTTTAGGATAACCGAGGACCATCTGACCGATCGATTGGGCCACCTCGTTGCGGACTACTCGCTGAATGAGTGCACACTGGAGGATATTTTTCTCAAATTCGACAAACAATCAAAGACCCCACCCTCATCACAAACATCGTCGAACAGCTCACCCATTCTACACAATCCGGACGCGTCCCACTTTGTGTGATTCGGCACCAAAGCCAGACACTGACACAGAGCACAAGACTGCCGTCAGAGTAAGCTTCACTTACTTTTTCCTGACATCAGGATTAATTTGTTTAGCCCACGGCTCGGCACGGCCCTTTTCTCTTTTCTCTGACATCATTCCGGTACTTAGTGATACATTCGATCTGGATCTAAGACTGTGCGTTTCACCGAGTACCGGGTAAAAATACCCCACCTCTTGCTGCTCTGTCGCAAATTGGTTTTCAACCTTCATACGTTATCGACGTACACCTGTAGATATTTCGCATATAAATCTCACGATTTTTCATGATTTTTATTATCATAATGTGTCTTGAGCGGCTCTATTGAATCTCATCAAAAGAGGCTAATCCTTTAGGCGGCAGTAACTTGTGCTCAGCGTCTGTCGTATCTGTCGGATTTTTCTACTTAACTTGTGTATAATCATAATTTGAAGACTTACACACACACCTATATCAAAGATATCAACTTTAACCGACTAAAATAAAGCACTCTCTACACAGATATTTTTGAAAATATTTTGGAGATAATATTGATTAAAATATTGTCTACAACGACGAACTTCGAAATGTTAAACAGTTCTAACAGCTATATTTATTATTTTAGTTTAGTTCATACAAATGTATAGCTTTAAGGGCTTACTTATATTTATACATAATAATCAAATTTCGAATTCAAATTATTATAATTTACTTCATGTATTCCTTATAACGATTGGATTTCCTTGACCATTGACGTTAAGTTGGCGTAATAAGTTGGCCAAATGCCAAGAAAAATATATATTTATGAATTTAAAATGATGTATTATTATTGATATTTATTTTGTATTTACCCCTATGTATGATCCCTACTTTGTAAACATAAGTAAAGTAATTAAATGAAATATCAAAATCGAGCAACAATTTGTTTTAGATTCGGTAAACTTACGGTATCATTTCGGTATATTTTTGAGGGTCATGTTAATTGTATCGATAACTCCGCGGTCGACTGGTGGGGTCCACGGCCATGGCCCGCAGCAAAGTTTGGAAATATTACGATAAAATAGACAACAGCACGGCGCAATGTCAGCTCTGCGAAAGGATTATCAAAACTTCCGGCAACACGTCCAACTTGATGAAGCACATGAAGACCCACAAGCAAATGTAAGTGCTTCATGCCGTATGATAGCGTATCCTCTCCAGAGGGAGCTGATGAACCAAAAGCATTTATAAATTGCAGAGATCTCGACAATAATGAAGCTGTGGTGATGCGTGGCATCTTCAAGCCGCGTGTGTTGAAAAGGAAAATCAAAAAGTCTCCAACCTACGAGGGCCTCCCGTTCTTGTTCGAGGGGCAATATAACAGCAGCACCGAGCTGGCAATGAAAACCAAAGCGGAGACAGAGCATTTCAGAGAGCTGGATGATGATGTCTCTTGTCAGGCAGTTGAACAGGCTGCCATCTGGACGACTGGTGTTACGGAGTCAACGGCAGACACAGTCACTGCCGAGGACATTATAGAATTTGAGCCCAAGGAGGCGAACGATGTAGAGGAAGGTATTTGCAGCAACTTCCTCAGCAATCTGGAAGCTAGAATACCTGTCCACCGTTCGTTTCTTCAGGACATGGCCTTTTTTGTCTGCCGGGACAGGCATCCACTGCAGACAATTCAAGGCGAGGGATTCAAGCACTTGGTGAGTGCGTTGTGCCCAGGCTCCAAGCCACCCAGCGTGGATGAGCTGGAAACGTACATTTGCAACCAGCGACAACTGCAAGCAACGAAGCTGCGCCAACAATTAGCAAGTCTTTCCACACTCTCCCTAAGTGTTGCCCTTCACAATAGGCCAGAGAAGCGAAGTTACCTGGTACTGGCGGTACACTTCTACGAGGGACTGGAAAAGATATCCAGAACGTTGTCGGTACAAGGCTTGCCCGAGCATTACACTGACAGCCAGATTGTGGAGCGTATGGAGCGGGTATGTCGACGCTTCGGCATAAACAAGGCAAAGATCACCTGCGTGGTGACAGGTGGCTGTCGTCTGCTCGAGGATGCTGTCACGTCCCTGCTGGGGGATCATAGACATATACCCTGTTTTGGCTATCTGCTGAATACCATACTAGAGGCCACAATGCTCCGCAAGGAGGTTCTTCACTACAGCGAGAAGGTTCGCCCCTACGTTGCCTGCTACTTCGACAGTGGGGTCCCCAACTCACAAAGAAAGCTTCACCTGGATGTGCATCAACGCCCCCTGAGCACCTTTGATATGCTGGAGGGATACGTCAGGGAAGCCCCGCAGCTGTCCAAATGCGTGCCACTCGAGATTAGCCCGCCGCTGTCAGAGGAAGAGCTGGAACAGTGTCGTGAACTGCTTGGTGTCCTGAAGCCGCTGGCCAGCTCAATGAGGGAGCTCAGTCGAGCAGGAGAGACATCATTTCCCGTGGCTAGCAAGGCCTTGCCCATAGCATACACCCTCATCAACGAATTGAAGAAGAACCGAAGCCCAGAGATTCAGTTGACCTACGATCTGCGCATGTTTCTGGTCGGTCAGCTGGAGGATTGCTTTTATAGCATAGAGAATAATGTCCAACTTGCTATGGCAACCCTGCTGGATCCCCGCTTTCGCACCATGCCTTTTTCCAGAGTATTGGCGTCCCAGTACAAGAAGGATCTGCATGAGATTTTTCAGACACACGTAAAGCCTTGCGAGGCAGCCACTGTTATAGAGGATGCTACCGAAAACTATGACATTTGGGCAGCGTTCAAGGCTCTGTCGCATGAGAAGGAGCAGCACAGGCAGAGAACAGAGCCCAATGACCGGGAGGATGAGATCAGCAGCTATTTTGATGGAAGAATTAGTAACCTACAGGAGGAGCCAATGAAGCTGTGGGAAAATCTCATGCATTTGTATCCCTTTCTGCATGGTCTGGCCAAAAAGTATCTGCACATTCCGGCCACCGCTGTGCCGCCGGCGAGTCTGTTCACGGACACAGTGGCGGACGCAAAACTGACTGACTCTAGCATGGAGAGCACGCTCTTTCTGGCAGATATCCCATTGGATGAGTGGTAATTATAGTAACATTTTTCTATTAAAGCAAAATATTTATTTTTTACCAACGTTAATACATTTTGATTTTGATTAATTAATACTGTAAATACTTTAGTACATTAAATACCTCAAGTACTTTAAATACTAAATAAATACCTTTCAATTTGACAGAAAATTTGGCACCTTTTTCATGAATATACCTTGGTATGAGAATGTAGAATATGAAAAACAAATGTAATTTAAAGCCATTTTCAGGTTACATCGAATGCTAATTCGTAATGAGCAAAAAACTCCTGATCGTTGCAAACCAAATCTCAATTTATTGGAAAATGTAAAAAAAAAACTTGTCACAAGTCCGCATTTCCCCGACAGGTGTCTCTGTTGCTAATTACATAAATCCGTAGTTAATATGTAGCAAAAGTGTAGTTATCGTGTAGTAAAACTGCTGGCAAAAAAAATATTGATGACGTTTTTTTCGCATCATTTTTAATGTGGAATTAAAAGTGAAACATTTCAATATGCACCTGCATAAAAAACACAAATAACACGCCGCGTGCCGAGAGTTGACCACGGAGCCATCGAGGAACACCACACAGCCGACGCAGAGCAGCCAGCAGCGAAAGTTGCTGTCGTTTCCGCAATCTGCTGAACAACACAACGCACAGGGCGAGGGCGAGAGAAGCAGCAGCAGCAAGAAAGAGGGCCACTTGGAGAACTCGGGATAACAATATAAAGGTCGACCTTGGGAGTTGCATATGCACAATATGCAAAGTAACTCCACGAAAACCAAGGAAATGTTTATTGTGCGTGCTCTAGAGAAAATCCTTGCCGACAAGGACATACGGCGCTCCCACCACTCGCAGCTGAAAAAGTCCTGCGACTCGGCACTGGAGCAGATCAAGGCGGAGCTGATCAGCGCCGGCCAGATTGCCGAGGGCAATGAGCTGCCCTGCGCGGCCCTGCCGCTGCCAAAGAACGATGCGGCCAGCATCATCAATGCCGAGACCTACTTCCTGCCCTTCGAGCTGGCCTGCAAGAGTCGCTCGCCGCGAATTGTGGTCACAGCCCTGGACTGCCTGCAAAAGCTGATTGCCTACGGACATCTGACGGGCTCCATCCAGGACTCGGCCAATCCCGGCCATCTGCTAATCGATCGCATTGTCATCACCATATACGGCTGCTTTAGCGGTCCCCAGACGGACGAGGGCGTACAGCTGCAGATCATTAAGGCTTTGCTCACTGTGGTCACCTCGCAACATGTCGAGATCCACGAGTTTACGCTCCTCCAGGCTGTGCGCACCTGCTACGACATTTACCTGTCCAGCAAGAACCTAGTCAATCAGACGACAGCGCGGGCGACGCTCACCCAAATGCTGAACGTCATATTTGCCCGCATGGAGAATCAGGTGTACGAGGTGCCTCCACCCCCGCCCACAAACGGCAGCATACACTCGGCAGTGTCCGAAGACTGCAATGGAGAGGACTCACTGGCGGATAGTGACGAAGTCATTGCCTCGGAGCTGCTGGCTGAGATCATAACAGGTAAGGAGGAAGGCTGCCAAGATATCTTTGGACCACATTCTGCTGATGCCTGGTCATGGTGAAATTACTTACACAGGGCGCTCTCTATCGGAGACCACTACTCAATCTCTATCCCTTTCTAGCGCTTGTCTTTTTGAACACGGTGAATAAGTTACAACTTCACCTTTCTTGTAATTTCACCATGTGCCTGCTGATCTATTGTTGAGTTATTGAATAGCAATTAATATTAATTTATTTTGCAGCTGCCTTCAATGAGGCCTTCAAAGATCAGGAAACCACCGAAGTGGAGGCTGTGCTTGTGAACGGCAACGATTCTTCGTCCCATTCGGATCCCGACAGCGTTGAGCTGCACAACGAGAACGATGCCGTTGTTACGGCCAAGTTTACACACATTCTGCAGAAGGATGCATTTCTGGTGTTTCGATCGCTGTGCAAGCTCTCGATGAAACCCCTGCCGGAGGGACATCCTGATCCCAAGTCGCACGAGCTGCGCTCCAAGGTGCTGTCGCTGCATTTGTTGCTGCTGATACTGCAGAATGCGGGGCCAGTCTTCCGCTCCAATGAGATGTTCATCATGGCCATCAAGCAGTATCTGTGCGTGGCCCTGTCCAACAATGGCGTCAGTCTGGTGCCGGAGGTCTTTGAGCTGTCGCTCTCGATCTTCGTGGCGCTGCTGTCCAACTTTAAAGTACACTTGAAGCGTCAGATCGAGGTCTTCTTCAAGGAGATTTTCCTCAACATTCTGGAGGCGAACTCGAGCAGCTTCGAGCACAAGTGGATGGTCATTCAAGCGCTGACGCGCATCTGTGCCGACGCTCAGTCTGTGGTGGATATTTACGTAAACTACGACTGTGATTTCTCGGCGGCCAATCTGTTTGAGCGGCTGGTCAACGACCTGTCCAAGATAGCGCAGGGCCGGCAGGCACTCGAGCTGGGCGCCAATCCCATGCAGGAGAAGTCCATGCGCATCCGTGGCCTGGAGTGTCTCGTCTCCATCCTCAAGTGCATGGTGGAATGGAGCAAGGATTTGTATGTGAACCCAAATATGCCCGTGCCAGCGCTGCAGGTGCAGTCCCCCACGACAACAGAGGATCATTCGGCGGACACCACCATACAGACGACGTACAGTGGCTCCAGCCACAGCCTCAACTCCAACCAGGAGCAGCTGCAGGATCTGCCCGAAGCGCTGGAGGAGCGCAAGATGCGCAAGGAGGTGATGGAAACGGGCATTGAGCTCTTCAATCGGAAGCCCCAGAAGGGAGTGCAGTTCCTGCAGGAGAAGCAGCTGCTTGGAGCCACCTGCACGGACATTGCCCGCTGGCTGCACGACGACGAGCGCCTGGACAAGACCGTCATTGGAAATTATCTGGGCGAAAACGATGATCATTCGAAGGAGGTGATGTGCGCCTACATCGATGCCTTCAACTTTCGCCAGATGGAGGTGGTGGCCGCTCTTAGGATACTCCTCGAAGAGTTTCGGCTGCCGGGAGAGGCGCAAAAGATTGATCGCCTGATGGAGAAGTTTGCCAGCAGATATTGCGAGTGCAATCCGCAGAATCAGCTATTCCAGAGTGCAGACACGGTGTACGTGTTGGCCTTCAGCATTATCATGCTAACGACGGACCTGCACTCGCCGCAGGTCAAGCACAAGATGACCAAGGAGCAGTACATCAAAATGAATCGTGGCATCAGCGACAGCAAGGCGGACCTGCCCGAGGAGTATTTGTCGTCCATCTACGATGAGATTGCCGAGCACGAGATCAAGATGAAGAACAACACGGGCATGCTACAGCCCAAGCCCAGCGGCAAGCAGCCCTTCATCACCGAAAAGCGGCGCAAGCTGCTCTGGAACATGGAAATGGAGGTGATCTCGCTGACGGCCACCAACCTCATGCAGTCCGTCTCGCACGTTAAGTCACCCTTCACATCGGCCAAGCACCTGGAGCACGTGCGTCCCATGTTCAAGATGGCCTGGACCCCATTCCTGGCCGCCTTCTCCGTGGGTTTGCAGGACTGCGACGATCCGGAGATAGCCACACTCTGCCTGGATGGCATCAGGTGCGCCATCCGCATAGCCTGCATCTTTCACATGTCGCTGGAGCGTGATGCCTACGTGCAGGCTTTGGCAAGGTTCACGCTGCTGAACGCCAACTCACCCATCAACGAGATGAAGGCCAAGAACATAGACACCATCAAGACGCTCATTATGGTGGCCCACACGGATGGCAACTATCTCGGCAGCAGCTGGCTGGACATTGTCAAGTGCATCAGCCAGCTGGAGCTGGCCCAGCTCATTGGCACGGGTGTGCGACCGCAGTTCCTCTCCGGCGCCCAGACCACGCTCAAGGACTCGCTGAACCCCAGCGTAAAGGAGCACATCGGGGAGACGAGCAGCCAGAGCGTTGTGGTGGCTGTCGATCGCATTTTCACGGGCTCCATGCGGCTGGATGGCGATGCCATTGTCGACTTTGTGAAGGCCCTGTGCCAGGTGTCGTTGGATGAGCTGCAGCAGCAGCAGCCACGCATGTTCTCCCTTCAGAAGATCGTGGAGATTAGCTACTACAACATGGAGCGCATCCGTCTGCAGTGGTCGCGCATCTGGCAGGTGCTCGGCGAGCATTTCAATGCCGTTGGCTGCAACAGCAACGAGGAGATTGCCTTCTTTGCTCTCGACTCGCTACGCCAACTGTCGATGAAGTTCATGGAGAAGGGAGAGTTTAGCAACTTTCGCTTCCAGAAGGATTTCCTGCGCCCCTTCGAGCACATCATGAAGAAGAACGCCTCGCCCGCCATCCGTGACATGGTGGTGCGTTGCATAGCCCAAATGGTCAACTCACAGGCCCACAACATTCGCTCCGGCTGGAAGAACATCTTCAGCATCTTCCACCTGGCTGCGGGGGACCATGAGGAGCCCATTGTGGAGCTCGCCTTCCAGACCACGGGCAAGATCATCGGCGATCTGTACCACCGGCAGTTTGCCGTCATGGTGGACTCGTTCCAGGATGCCGTCAAGTGTCTGTCGGAGTTTGCAACCGCCCGTTTCCCGGACACCAGCATGGAGGCCATTCGGCTGGTGCGCACCTGCGCCCAGTGCGTGCACGAGGCGCCCCAACTGTTTGCTGAGCACGCGGGCATGGAGAACGACGCTTCGGTGGCGGAGGAGGATCGCGTGTGGGTGCGCGGCTGGTTCCCCATGCTCTTCTCGCTCTCCTGCGTGGTGAATCGATGCAAGTTGGATGTGCGCACGCGCGCCCTCACGGTGCTCTTTGAGATCGTAAAGACCTACGGAGACAGCTTCAAGCCGAACTGGTGGAAGGATCTGTTCAATGTGATCTTCCGCATCTTCGATAACATGAAGTTGCCGGAGCACTTGACCGAGAAGTCCGAATGGATGACAACCACCTGCAATCACGCCTTGTACGCCATCATTGACGTCTTCACGCAATACTTTGATGTGCTCGGCCACCTGCTGCTGGAGGAGCTGTTCGCCCAGCTGCACTGGTGCGTCCAGCAGAGCAACGAGCAGCTGGCCCGCTCCGGCACCAACTGTCTGGAGAATCTGGTCATCTCGAATGGGTTCAAGTTCAACGAGGTTACCTGGGATAAGACTTGTCAGTGCATTCTGGACATCTTCAATGCGACGCTGCCACAGGATCTGCTCAGCTGGCGACCCAAGGGACATGCCAGCCACCCCACCTCGCTGCAGGAACACAATCACTTCGAGGCTCTGCACATACGATGCGTGGTGCAGCTGGAGCTGATCCAGACCATGGATAATATTGTCTTTTTTCCGGCCACATCGCGGAAGGAGGATGCCGAAACGCTGGCGCAGGCAGCAGCAGACTTAACAGGCGGACGTAGCGGCTCCCAATCGCAGCTGCTTGACTGCCAGCGTGAGGAGCAGGGCATGTATGGTTATCTCAGAACACGCCAGCTGCTCACCCTGGCCGATTGTCTGACGCAATCGCATCGCTTTGCCAAGCGCTTCAATGCCGACCAGGAGCAGCGCAGTCTGCTGTGGCGTGCCGGCTTTAAGGGTTCCGTGAAGCCCAATCTGCTCAAGCAGGAGACCTCCTCGCTGGCCTGTGTGCTGCGCATTTTCTTCAAGATGTATGGCGACGAGAACCGGCGCAGTGACTGGCCGGGCATAGAGCAGGAGCTGGTGCAGGTATGCAAGGAAGCGCTGGCCTACTACCTGAGCCTGCAAAGCGAAGCGCATCGCGATGCGTGGACATCGTTGCTGCTGCTTATCCTCACACGCCTCCTCAAGATGTCCGATGCAAGGGTGAGTAGTACTTTAACCCTTTCTACTCCTACAATATCCTTAATGTTTGTTTATCTCCCTCTTGCAGTTTGCCACGCACGTGTCCAACTATTACAGCCTGCTGTGCGAGATGATGTGCTTCGACCTAAAGCCCGAACTGAGAAGTGTCCTTAGGCGCGTGTTCATGCGCATTGGTCCAGTATTTAATATAGTGAATGTTAAATAGTCAAGGAAAAGCCTCAGTTGACTAGACTGGACTTGGCCATGTTAATAGATTGCTCCCACTAATTCCCAATAATAGTTTATCCAGCACTCCTTTCGGTTCCCTTTTGGTTTTGTTGTTACATACACCACTACACATACGAGTATATATATATATTTTTATTATATTTATAAACAAATACATAGGCAAGATGTATTGTTCAGTAGGCTTAAAGAGAAATGTTGTTGTTTTTACATATATACATACATATATACCATACACATACATACATTTATATATGCTATGTAAGCCTTTAATGTCTTTTCCGAGTTCCGAATTTGTACTACTTTGTTTCCACTCCTCCAATATTCCCCCCCTTCTTACCTATTACCAATTAAAGTGTAGCGTAAATAACAATTAAAGCGAGTAAATTGTGTAGCCTGTACATTGCTAGTGTTAACTTAAATCAAATTCTATATATAAAAATACATATATAAAGATATATTTCAAATATACAAATATTACCATTATTACCAAATTATTTTAATCGATTACTTAATTTCCTTTATGTAGGTTTAGAAGCTGCGAGGGCGACTATGACACACTTCTAGCCGCCCATAAATATATTATTCGCTTAGTATTTTCTATCAGCTCATTGCTGAGCAAGTTTCAGCAGGTTTGCCAACTCTTGTAAGACAAAATCGGCCGATTGGAGGTTGAAATTGCAAGATATTCTTAAAGCTATACCCAACCTCATCGCTAAGCGGTTTTAGATTTGAATAATCAGTTGGGTATGAAACAGCTTTCCGAAATGTGGCTGCCGCATTTGCTCACAGTGTGCCAAGAACGAACCCGTGTGATAATTCCGAAGGAGTGTTTGGTGTGGTTCAACCCCACAAATAAAAACAGTCACAACAAGGGACTTCGCAGGATAATTCTGAGCCAAAGTGGGATTTCAGCAAATAAAGCCATGCAGCCAGTTTTCTTGGCTATCTTTCAATCTTCAAAATCGTAAGACAATCAATGGTAAATATTATGCAACGACCACATTTGGAAATTGAGTCCAACGTTGAAGTCATCTCCACAATTGAGTGTTGTGAGCGCCTGTACAAACTAAATTTTTTGTAAGGAAAAAAAAAATGGAAGAGATGCCATAGAAAATATGTAAAGCTAAAAAGATATTATTTTGACACATCGTGCATATAAAGATCTGGTTACTTGTTATTCGGGCATGCTAAATTGTCTTTTAAGATCTAAGATCTGATCTGATTATTTTAGCCATCATGAGATCATTTATAGCACCACCCAAACCAAATAACACAGCAAATTTCTTTATATTTCTGTCATGTTCTCCAAATTTACAAAAAACTCAAATAAAATGCTTTGCATTTTTGTACATTTTTTGCCCGTTCTTTGGGAACCATATTGATGGCATTTTTATTATGCCCCAGTCGTGTGCTACGAATTTATTTGAATTGAGGGAGGAGAGCATCAGAACACGGACAGGACGGACACGACAGGGTCTGGTCTGCGAAATGGTTTTCATCCCACACGAAAGAGCATCTACATCTTCATCTATCTTTGAGTATATTTTGATTTTGATTGAACCACAAACACGTAAAGACCAATTCACAGATTTTACCATTGAATTTCATTTATTTATTTTGCACACTCCCTATTGGAAGAGTTCCATTCAAATGCAGAATATCTGCCACCCAAGCGATGTTAGACTTTTGGTCGAGAGAAATTAAAACTAAATTGAACTAAAAGAGATACTATTACAACTATTTAAGGAAATGGTCTGTTAGTTTAGTAGTTTGGAAGGGGACTGCAATTAGTAGCATATTTAAGGTGCGTGGATTTTTCAGACCATGAATTACTCATGAAAGGAATATTTTGATCTAAAAAGCGAAAGGAAAAACTTTGTAGGTTCTGAAAGCGATCATTAACCCTGATCTGATGATTTATAAATAAGTACTTTACCAAGAAAAATTAACTAGATTAAAATGAAGGAATGAACTTTAAATAAGTAGTTTGAATCAAAGCTCGTCCTTTTATAATATGAAATGGGGATGTGTGTAGGTTTCCGATAGCCGAGTTTATTATTCGTTAAATTTCATTATACAGCCGCAGGCAGTTTGACCTGCTCCACAAAAATATTTGTATCTTTTTTAAACGGCACTAGGTATAAATAAGTAGCTAATTGTTTTGCTGCTAGGATTGGATCCACTCTACCTTCATTTAGTATCTACATAAGACTGTCCATTGGCATATTTCGCAAGCCAGTCCAGTCAGTTCCGAGTATCTATTGTTTGTTTGGCCAATTTCGTGCCACAGTCCAGTCCACATGACATGGGATGACTGTTTTCGTGTTGTTTTCGTTTGTTTGATGGTTAAACAGTTCGATTAACACGCACCGCACTGACGTTAACTGGTCTGAACAGAGATTATCAAGTCGAATCAACGGATTGTATGTGTCCCGGAGAAGAGGTTCCGTGTGTGGGTTTCTATAGTGTGAGCTGGAAATTCTAAGCCATGCGCTAATGAATCTAGTTAATATGTCAATTCCATAGGAAACTTAATCACGCTCTCCATCGGTCGACTTCTGATTCGATTTGCGAAAGATCTCAGCGAGAGGTGTTAATTGAGGGCGACTCGTTGTTTTTTAGAGAGGGGTGCACAGAGTGCACAAAATATACTACAGAGCACAAACCAAATCCACATAAGCCACCACCAAATACAGTTCAAGATCTTTGACTAGCTTTATGGGTGTACCTCTTATAAAAAGAGATATAAGAGCTGCTTCCAACATCTGCTGCCAGAAAACAGAATAAAAATTAATCCCTAGCCACGCGCATCTCAAAAAATAATTGTAAAAGATTCTCTACTCATATAAAAATATTATAAAAGTAAATATTAGGATGCTGGATAGCCTGACCATTTTAAAAAGTTCTTTTTGTCGGGGGCAGTGCAAATAATTAGCTAACAAAAGCTCGAAAATATTGTTTGCAGGCTTCGGTTGTGCTGTACTGGGTTGTGGCTGTGTGTCACTGAGAAAGTTCAACACTTGTCGCATTCGCCTTGATAAGTTGCTTGAACTGTCTGAAAGTTCTCTCCGTGAATCACGATGAAAAACAGTAATCATCTTAGATTAGACTTATCTAAAGCAAATACAGCCAAAATCTCTCAACTTTTAGGCAAATATTTGTTATCCGAAACTACTGCTACTTTTTTGTGGCTTTACTTCTTAATTATTATTTAATATTTTTCCCATATTATATACGAAAACTGAATTAATATCCTTGAAAATAATCCTTTTAACGATCCTGGCAATCATCAGATTAAAGTTTCATGGAACATTGGAAAAGCTGCCGTAATATCACATATCCTTAGTCAGGTTCTGAGCCGTTGTGTATTCATAATTTACCTTAACTATTGATTTGGGTTTTTGTACAAAGTATACCCTGTCAGGCAATTCATTATGAATCCATGCGAAGTAGCAACAAAAAGTGTTCTAGTTCTGTTTCCACCTTTCGTTCCGTTCCGTTCCCCTAGCAGCCAATCTGCACTGCACGATCGCAGTGGTTCCGTGCCGTTCCGTTCCCTCCCTGTAACCTCTCCAGTCACATGGGCTCCGACCAGCTAATTCCCATTAACAATAATTACTCGACCTTGAAGTCAACTGTCAGAGCGGGAGCTTAAATCAAATTCCATCCAGATACATTCCCATTTTCATTTCCATTTCCATTTGGCAAAAGGCGGAAGCAAATTTGCAAACTGCAAACAAAAATGCACGTGAGAAGGGTCGGACCGAAATGGTGTGGGGTGCGGATAGGGGTGAGGTAGGGTAGCCGACAAAGCGTTCAACGGTGCCAATAAGTGCAAGGTTAATTCGATTTTAAGCTAAAATTCCACTGGCAGGAGTGGGATAACATTTAATCCAGACGCAAACACACCAAAAACTTCATGCGCGCGCGGCTCACATTAATTGTACACACGCAGGGGAAAACATATAATCAATTTTCAATCCGATAATCGTGTTAGCAGGGGGATGTATATTATATTGAGCAACGGAAACAAACGGAAGAAAAGTGAAATTAGTGACAAATTTTGTGCTTAACTCGCTGAAGTGGCTTCGTGCTATGCGGAGACTGAGCCTAATGGAATAACATGAACATAGCGTTGATGGGATGAGAATTATGGATCCCTGTTGCTCTCCACCCTCTACCGGGCTGTCAATTGAGAGCTCAGCCTGAACAGTTTCCCCTCAAAACTACTGCGATTAGAGTGTGTCGCCATAGCCATTCCCCTTTGGGATATATAGGGTACACATACATGTACATATGTATGTGTGTATGTATGTGTGTACGTTGTCGAAAGTGCGATCGCGATCACGCTTTAAGTCCCCAGTGCAGGAACAAAAACAATGCGAAAAAGTACAGCAACAAAGTCACAAAAAAAAAATGATGGCGAGCAATTTACAAAAAAATATTCAGCACAGTGGAATATAACCGACAGAAAGTGTATGAAAATCGATTGAACAACCGCAATCAATGCAAGCAGCTTCCGTTTCTTTCAGTTTCAAGCTAACATATTCACCTTTGTCGGAAGTAGTTTAAGCGTAAACGGATTACCTATGCACACCACAGTGCCGGACTCAAGTACGAGCACGAAAGCAAACTATTGAACCCAGCAGCCACTGTCAACAGTTCTAATGACACCTCATGCCTCCCCCAGTGCTTCCCGTTCTCTGTTCCATTCAACCAAAGAGCTTGGGGTTAAACAGTAGTTTAGTTCTCTGTCGCGCTCGCTCTCTCTCTCTCGGTGTCGCTCGCCGCTCGTCGCTCTCTTTGCTTGTGGGGGCCTCTCGTGAGGTGCGTGCTGTGGTGTGTGCTGTCAAGTTTCAAGTCAGCGGCGCTGCCCCGAGTCGGGCACAGTCTACAATCAGCGGACTACCCAAACAGTCGCCGTCGTCTCCCGTTTCGCATTTCGCGTGGCTCTGTTCCCGATTCCCACTTACGCGGTGCTCTATAAAATATTCAGCCAGATCCTTAACAAGAGTCAGACGCGTGCCGAAGTTCGCGAGTGAAGCAACCCATCAAGTGTCCCCCTCCAAAAAAAGAAGAAGTCCAATTCAAGATGAGCCACCACTGGGGTTACACCGAAGAGAATGGTAAGCCGCCGCGAGCGAACGCCGCTTTTTATTTGTTTGTTTATTTTGACCCGATCGGGTACGGTACCGAAGCAGCTTTGGGTTTGTTTACCGATTACCGAAAACAACTTCCCTGCTCGCTCTTTTCGCTCCTCTCCGCACCGGCCTTCGTTCGGTCAGACAAGTCTGCTTTGCCTTTATCGCGTCTTACCGCCGAGATTTGTGGAGATTTTTGAGTCATACGCACGCTGCGTCTGCGTGCAACAATATAATACAGATCAGAGCAGTCTTTGAAGCTGTCGACAGGTTGTGGCCAGTTCTCCACTCCCCTGGGATTGCAAGCGTCAGTTTGGAATTTTTCCGGATTGCTTGTCTGGCGTATCTGACAAATACGTCATGCCCGAATCAGACAGAATTCTGTAAATTTAATTCCCAACGATAAGATATCGGCTAGATATAACAGCCAGCGCTCAAAGGGGCATGAGGGGGATGGACCTAACCCAATAAAAACCACATACATACATAATAATCGTACTCATAAGTACTGGCAGATTCAGCGACACACATGAGTGACGACTACACCCTCAATAAATAGGCAATTAGTCAGATAATTAAACGGTTAAAAGTGCTTCAGAGAAATGGTCATAGTCATTGATTTGGGGCTTATCGTAAGGGTTTCAGATTACAAATTAAGTGAAAGAAAAACCAATTGTTCTCTGGCGTAATACTAGAAAACTTCCGAAGAGAGAGAGAGAGAGAGTGAAAGAGTGAGTGATCCCACAGTGATTACACAAGACACAAGACACGATATTCTGTATGAAATTCATCGCCTTGCACTTCAATTACATGGCTCATAAGCTCAACAAACCCAATGAACAAGCGCCGATCTAACGCGGGCAAACAAACTTACGAACCGAGCCGAACCGACTTGGACACGTTCTATTCGCTGGCACTCATGAATAATGGGCGAAACGCAGTAATTATATTGTGCTGGCAAACGGGGCTGGTGGCGTTCGGGGGGGGTTTTCGCACGGGCCGTGTCTCGTGATCGCCGACGCTCTCTGGGTGCTTCCCATTTAACCAGTCTCAGTCCCGGTCTTCAGCAAACGAGTTCGACTTATACCGACACACACTCACGCACGACAACTTCATGCTCGAATTCTCATTCGCTTGCCCGTCCCTGTCTCTTGGTGTTCGGCTCTCTGCGCGCCGCTTCGAAGGCAGTTCATTTACTTGTCAAGTGCACGTTCTTGGTCTGTTAAGGACACATTGCAGACCGGTTCCACAGTCAGCACTTGACCAATGTCTTTGCAAAGGCCTAGCCATACATATGAAATTCCCATTTTTCGACAATTTCAATTGATTTGCTTAAATGGCGCTGATTGCTCTGATTGATTTGATTCGATGCTGCTGCTGGTAACTTTCCAATGCAAGAAGCTCCTTCATCACGCAGCTTCCTCTTTGCGACCAGACCAGTACGACTTTTGTATTAGTATTCCTTCAAGATTGCCCGATTAGTGCCACAATTCTAATCAAATCGCTCAGGTTTTCTAGCCTCTGACCCTCCAACAGCTGTACATACACATTTGCACATGTATTCATACGATTACGAAGTCCCGCATACTTCGGAGAGATTAAAACTCTCGTGTTTGCACGAAGATCAATAAAACGTTCCGACAGCACTGATTTCCCTTCAGCTGATCAGGCGTGCAATTTCATATCTTTCATTGAAACACTTCCGAAACAACGTGATGGTAGTGGTTATATTTTATCTAAGATTCTAGTGTTTATTTTTGTAAGAAAGAAACCTTTGAGCAGGGTGCTATATCATCTTAATGTCATAGTCAGAATGATCGATTGGTTTATAATTACTTCAATGATATATAATTTATTGTCTTATCACGTTCCTATGTAGATCTCCATTATCTAGAATATGTACAAATATAGTTATTGGCTTGCACTGAGAAAACACGCAAGATATTTGGAATCGAACTTCAAAGTACATCAATGGAAGTCGTACGCTTGTTTACCCTATAATCATCATCAGATGAGGATTCCCATTAGATTCAATATTTATTGTGGACAGACTGGAGGAGAAATATTTCTCACGCAAGGAACGTGCAAGAAATTGCCAGTTTGATATTATTTTTGGCTAGATCTAACGCTTGAATTGCCCATCGAGATATTTTATTAAGGTGTGCTAATAAAATGTTGCTGAAAATTGAATTGATATATATTTGAGTATAGATGGAGGGTGCTAAAAAGACATATCAATTTATGAGTTTGGAAAATTTTGAGAAAATAAAAAAAACCGAAAACATTTCAATTAGCCCCCACACCTTATAAGTATCAGCAGACATGGAAGAAAACGATATGGGGTATGAGGAGTGTTTCCATTAGGCCCGAAATGCACTTGTGCTCAGGCTTTCGATGTATTTAATGACAATTCAATTATTCCATTTGCGGTTTATTGTCCCCAATTCAGCATTTCATTTTCTGAATTTCACATGCAAAAAAATAATTACGGCAAACAGAATGTTGCAGGTGCTGGGATGGCTTGTAAGAGACAAAGTTAGACCAAGGCTGAGCACTGCTGGGTCTTCTTTAAACGAATGGGGATGGTAATAATAGTCGAACAAAGCACAAAGCAGTTGTCTGAAGGGTTGTTGCTTTTTAGCCCGGTCAATTGAGTGTGCCTATAAAAAGAAATAAAACACGGAGTGCGACATTATATCATCAGAATTGCTCTGACTCATAATTTTGGATTGCTACTGGGTTCTGGAAAGTGAATTGAGTTACTTGACCCAAACCAGTTTTTGTCAAAAGTTTCCTTACGATCGTCCCTCCAGGCCAGGCCTGGCCTGACACACGCAACAAACTCGTGATTGCATCCATTTCATTTCCGATGATTCCCCCAGATATTATCATGCAAGGCTCGCTTAGAATCGCTTAACTCGTAAAATCGTAAAGACGTAAATACGTAAATGCTAATTGCAAGTGTTTTATTTTCTTTTGTTTTTTCGCTCTCTCTCTCTCTGTTTTTTATTTGAATTCTCTTTTATATCTTACTTTTATGCCAAGACACTTTTTGTGTAATTTTGAATGGATGTTTTTGGTAGACAGCAACAAGCTTTGTTTGGAATTGTTCTCTCGCTCTCGGTTGGAATGGGGAAAGCAAAACGAGACTGCAGCTTTAAGGGAAAAGTTCGTTTCGCTGAGATTCCAACGAAAGATCATTATAGATTCCATTTGGCGGGGCGTGTGTGTTGTTGCTTCCGGAACAAGTTTCTCGAAGACAACTTTCAGCTGGTGCCCAGCCCGGGGCCTTTGTGGGGATAGGATATAGATATCGATACTCAGTTCAATTGAAAATCATTAATTACCACAATTCTGAGAATCGAATCTAAATTGAAACAAAATAAAGTGCAAGTCGAGGGAATGTTTGGAAATTATTCGAGTTTCCCAAAGATCGTAAATTAATGGATCAATCTACAACCATTTGTTTGCTTTTCGGTTATGGCTAGAGTTACTTTTCGCCAAATTCAGGCGTGTTCTACTCTTCCCTACCCTTACCTTCCCTTACTTTTTATTTTCCTTTCATTTATTTTTATAATGTTTACGCAAGTGCTCCTCTAGTGTGTGTTTTTTTACCCACTCCACTCCACAATCCATTGTTATCAGAGCAGAAACACAGGCTATAGTGTAAATACTACAGGAGAAACGTCGCCAGAAGATCTTACTCGAAGCATTTACATCAGACGGCAGCAGCACCCAACTTGGTAAACAATCAAATAAAAAGAAAAGCTGAGATGATCTGAGAGATAGAGTTAAATAAAAACTGATTACGTATTATAAAAGAAAAGGTGTTATATATGGCCGGATATTTGCACATGGCTGCTAAGTTACGAAAGGATCGCTCCCTCAAATTCCTCTGTATGCCAAACACGGCGTATACGTGATGTGCCTACGTGATGCAGGCCCATTGTTTGATTTTCTGACTGTCCAAGGGGAAGTTTCCTTTGATAAATGCATTTCACCTGACTTTTTTCCATTATCAATTAAATATAGGACTTTGACGAAATTAATGCCAAAAAGCTACAGGGCCTTTGACGCTTTGAGCTCAGTCATTTATCATGCGGCAAATGAGGCTTTTCCCTGAGTCTTGTGGTTAGATAAGACCCGCTGGAAGCCCCTGGCCTTCGGGTCTGCACTTGGGCATACAAACATATTCATACATTGTTGTTTTCGGGTTAGTCAACCAGCCCTAGAGTATACCCTTCCATCCACAAACCCAACCTACAAGACATACCACACTCTAGCGGTTTATCTGGAGCGTGCGTCTGCAGCGATCCTATCACATGACTACCCGCTTGGCGGGTTTCCAGAGTGATTTTACTGGCACGTGACGTTGTTCTACGAGTCAATATTTGCTCTCACTTTGCGCACGCCCGACAGTAATTAAAAAATTCGTATGGCATGGTATGAGTACATATACTTTTATAAATTATAAACTGCAGCAAACAGGAGAACGAACAGAACGGGCAAATACATTTGTTGCCACAGCCGCTTGTTCAGATAAAATTTCTAGACAAATATTATGAGTATCAGATGAGCGGACTGCCGAGCCATTTGCATTCATAATATGCTAACTAAATGTTTAAGCTGAAAATTATTAGGAGGAAGTATCTGCCTGGTCATAATGTGCAATGCCACATTCTGAGCAAACAGTATTTTATTTAATTATATAACTATGCATGCACAGGAATATTCTCTTGATACAAAATGTTATTGAACTTCAAACCCCAACGACAGTTTGCTGATATGGCAATGCATGAACATAGCATCCCAATATTGATCCATTCCTTGAATAATTTATATGATTAGTAGCTAATTTTGTTAAGAATATATGCTACTAACGAGTTCATGTTTTAAAATATGATCATACCATACAAAAGAATTTTTGTTAATTGTAAAAATTCAAGAATCTATAGAGTTGGTAGAAAGCTTAATATCTAGCCATAACTTTAGGTATATCCATTCTATCACCAATAATTGCAAGTCCTGTGAAAGATTGTAGAATTTTCTATTGTATTCTTCTACTTGTATGAGGAAGTGATCTACTCATTGAGGCCTACAGCCTAATTTTTGTCTCAGACAAAGTACAAAAAGACTGTCGCACAGTTTTATCAAAACTGGAAAATGTGCATAAATAAAGTCATTGTTTTCGGTTCAACCAAAGCTGCCCAAAGAATTCTCTCATCCTAAGTGGACTTTTAATCAGTCACATTAAAAAAGTGATTGTAATGATTTGTCACACTTCAACTTTAATTTTGTGTAGTGGGAAAAAACATTGTGGGAAATTGAAATTTGATTACAACCATAATGACCCATAATTATTGTTCAGGGAAATTATTCGCTGGCACAAATGGGAATTAAATGAATTGATTTGATTTATTGTTTCATATCTATAAACACTTCGCTGAGGGGACAACAATTAGTGAACAAATATCTAATGATAGTTCAAATTTGTTCTGTGTATTTTCCCAGGACCCGCACACTGGGCCAAGGATTATCCACATGCGTCCGGCCATCGCCAGTCACCCGTGGACATTACGCCCTCCAGCGCCAAGAAGGGAAGTGAGCTGAAAGCTTCCCCACTCAAGTGGAAGTATGTTCCAGAGAACACCAAGAGCCTGGTCAATCCCGGTAAGTGGATGCTGAAGAACGTCATGAAGAAGCGTTAGCTAATTAATTCAAATTCTTTAAAGGTTACTGCTGGCGCGTGGATGTGAATGGCACCGGCTCGCAGCTGACTGGAGGTCCCCTGGGCGATCAGATCTTTAAGCTGGAGCAGTTCCATTGCCACTGGGGATGCACAGACTCCAAGGGCTCTGAGCACACCGTCGATGGAGTGTCCTATGCTGGGGAGCTGCACTTGGTCCACTGGAACACCACCAAGTACAGGTCCTTCAATGAGGCTGCCGCTGCTCCCGATGGCTTAGCTGTGCTGGGCGTATTCCTGCAGGCCGGCAATCATCATGCCGAGCTGGACAAGGTCAGCAGCCTGCTGCAGTTTGTGCTGCACAAGGGCGATCGTGTAACCCTGCCCAATGGCTGCGATCCCGGCCAGCTGCTGCCCGATGTTCACACCTACTGGACCTACGAGGGCTCCCTGACCACACCACCCTGCTCGGAGTGTGTCATCTGGATTGTGTTTAAGACCCCCATCGAGGTGTCCGACGATCAGCTGAATGCCATGCGCAACCTCAACGCCTACGATGTCAAGGAGGAGTGCCCCTGCAATGAGTTCAACGGCAAAGTCATCAACAACTTCCGCCCCCCATTGCCGCTGGGCAAGCGCGAGCTGCGCGAGATTGGCGGCCATTGAAGTGGATTTGTCGGTGGGAAAATGGTCAACTCAGAGCAGTCTTTGAAAAGTCAATGGATTCAAGTCGTATGATTAGTTGTTCGCACCACGCAGCGAGATAAAATGGTGCTATGCCAGCACCAGCACATCCTACTGTTCAGTTCTCGTCTTTAGTTCGTACTACTCCCAGCAAAGCACGCATATGTACCTCATATTACTACTTTATGTGTGTGTCGTCTATCTTTATCTGGTTACGCGTCTGCGCATGCGTAGCTGTATCTGTATCTTTATCTGTAATGTATGTTCGTTTTTTGATTATTATTATTTGTTTGTTAATCGTTTGCAAAATGACAATTAGTATAATATTATATATTACATATTATGGTATTACAAATTAAATATAACACGATTGAATGTTGCATTATGAAATCTAGTCATATATTTTGTAAAACTCAATTGTTTGGGCATTATTCCCAGAGTTTTGGAATACGCGTACATTTTTAATGATAAATGGAGCGTGCTTGGTGTCCAGGGAGCGCTTATCGACTTCTTTCTCTTCAATTTTCATCTATGTACTTTCGCTTCTGCAGGCCGTGAACCGTGGCCGTGGTCAAGATGCGCTCGGTGTGAGACTTTCATATGCACTTCACATGGGCATTCCAGTTTTTCAAGATTCGCGGCGACAGTCAGGTGACAGTCAGAACTCAACATACATACATACATAGCTAATAGCTACACCTTTTTGTGTACGAATGTGCGCTAACTCGAGATGTGTTTTAGTTGCATTTGGATATGCCAGCAGCCATCAGCTATAAGCCTTTCTATATAAAAATTACATGTTAGAAGTCTGTAAAAAGCTCAATAAATTTGCCAAGTTACAGTGCTCCTTACCCGGATTGAGGTTTCCCCATAGAGAGACAGACCAATGCTTTGCTCATTCACTTTTTGAAGTAAAATCGAGCAACCCTTTGGGCTTGCAGGTCCACTGCTGAAAGTATTCCTCTTTCAATTGGCGCCATGCTTGTTGATAATCCTCACACAAATCCTTGCAGAAAGCATAAGTCATATGCTCCAGATCGGAGTCATCTCTTTGAAATTTCGCACGCAATTCTGCATGCGACTGTAGCAGATTTAGGAACGTTTGAAACAGCTTGAACTTGCTGACCGCTAAAGCAGCTTGGGCGGATTCTAGTTTCTTTTTTGTCACTCCTTGCCGCTTGCCATTCACGGAGATCTCATAAGGCCTGTAGGCAAATAGAGGTGAGATAACTTTCAAAAGCATAAAAATAAGAACGTACCTGAGATCATCTGGCAGCTGTGACCAAACCAAACCATTGGGCGAGGGCTGCCTGTCACCTCGCTGAGAGTACTTAAAGGTAAGGCTGGCATCAATGCGTATTTGTGGCTGTTGGGGTTGGAATCGCGTGTGCTTAGATGACCGTCCTTGCCATCGCTTATAGATTGCACGCTCCACGGACACTTGATGCGCCTCGGGGCAGCTAAAGTTGAGCGAGCTGAAGTATATGGGCTTGGAGACTAAAGAGTCAATCAACGCGCCCTGTACACCAAGCACGCACCAGCGGGCTAGCTTATCACTGCACGACATGGACAAAGTTCGCACACCACGACCGGGCTTGGTGCGTAATGCTCCCGGCGTCTGCTCCATGTCATCGGTTATGGCTCCAGGCAGCTGGCCGGCTATCAGCTTGCCGCCAGTGTAGACCATCTCAGAGTTCACGTCCAGTCGGGGCCGCTTTGCACTCTTCTCGAGTCCCATTGCCACGGACTCATCCACAATACAAGCGTCCCCACATGGCGTCTGAGTGCTAAAGAAATGATACTCCACGTGTTCACTGAGCTCAAAGTAACGGTGCTTAGCGTCCCAATGGAAGATACGGTCGTGGTCTAGTTCGTGGTACAGATACCGTAAAAAGGCTCGGCGTGCCAATACTTCGGCATGGGAGTCGTTCAACATAAATCCTTTCGGGCAGTGTCTGGTGTAACCAATGCACTTTGTCCCACATCCGAGAGCCACCACCCGGCTGTCTCTCGTTTGACGGTTGTGCTCCACAACGCATGACAAAACAGTCCACTGGTTGGCCGAGGGCTTGCCGGTTTTTGGCAATAAATCAAATTTGTCATAGCAAATCTTGGATATATCCTCAAAAGATAAATTTGTATCACAATTACACATTACACATGCGATGAATTGATAAGTTTCGATAAGTTTTTACACAATAATGTAGCTATCGTCACTAACCCTACTGTATACTAGATTCTTCATACAGTACAAGCGAAACGTCAGCGCTCAGTGTGCGTGGTGAAGTCCCGGACCTCTGCAGACGCTCCAGCTACAAGTGTATTAGTGCGTGTGGAACAGCCAGTGGACCCAGCTACAAGTGGATTAGCTCGTGTAGAACACGCAGCCATGCACATGTATTGCTTGTTATTTTTTGCGCTCCAATGGTTAGTGTCGATATTGAGTCGACGGTATATGTACGGTATATCGGGATACATAGGTATATTTCGACAATTGATAACACATTTTCGAGAAGGTTTCAAACAAAATTATAGACAGGACTCGGGCTCTACTCTCTCAATTGATACTTGCTTCAAGGCTTTCAATATGAATCGCATGACAACACGCTGCCACTCAAAAGCACAAGGAAACATTGCTTACAACCTTTTGCGGACGATCAAAAATACGTTTAAAACAATTGTTTTTCTTTACGCTTTTTCGCTATGTTAATATAATTGTCTTTCGTTTATAGATTGATTCGTTTGTAGAGGAGAAAGCTTAGCTGCGAAATTCAGAAGAGCCGAAGAATGTAATAGCACCAGAATCAGAGCAGGTAGTGCCTTTACGTGAAAAGGGCTTATATTGCCCGAGACTTAAAAAAAATCAAATTTAGATATAGATTTACGAAATATAATGTATCTAATCCATTATATATAAGACAAAATTTAGGATACGTATATGGTTGTGAACATATCGAATCCGAAAAATATGTACTTTCTTACAATACGTTAGTATTTAATAAATTATTTTTCATCAGTATATTTTATAAATGAAAAAGTATAATTTGGTATATATTCGAGGACCTGACGGTTATCGATAATTTCGCGGTCACGCTGCCTGCAATACATATTAATAAACGCCGAAGTTCGTATTTGCCGCGAAAGAAAAAAATTATCTTATTTCACGAAATTTCGCCTAAATCCTTTAATAAAAAGCAATAATTCGATCATTAGTGGTTGCCCCACAAACAAATAAAGACGGCGGGTGAAAACATTTAGTGGATCCGTAGTTTTTCGGAAAACCTTGCCTCGGCGCAATTTCGGCCCAGATAAGCCAGTCACACGGAATCTGGAGCAGCGAAATCTGGAACTATGGCAGGCCTAGGAAAGACCAGGATGGCCACGGAGAAGGCGACAGGATCAAGGATCCTAGTGGAGACTCGAAAAAGCAGGGAAAAAGACACCAGACCTGCATTTGAGGCAGGCGTAAAAAAGGCGGGAAAAACAACAGCGACGACGACGAAAACCATCATGAAGGAGAAAGAAACGATAAATAAACCTAAAAAACGACTACGAGTGAAAAACAGAAGTCTCATGTAGAGGTTTGTCAGACGTCAGTGAGTACGACAAATGAATTGAAAGCAAATACTAATGAAAACAAAGACTACGAGGGTCACAATGGCCCTTTTGAAGTGTAAATAGACAAATTAAGCGATAATAATTCCGGGATTGCAATTAACCAGTTCGAGCTATCCGAACTTTTGATAAAACTGGGACTTGGCGGTATAGAGGAGGTCGCGAGGATAGGCTATGGCACGTGCAAGGTTGTATGCAGGTCGGCCGACGGTGCAAACAAGCTTGTGGAAAACAGTGCCTTCGCCGCCCACGGGTACTCTCCCCGAATTTTGCGGCACTTTGTACAAAAGGCGGGTCTAATCTTTGGGATCCCTGGCCACCACTCGGAGGAGCAGCTCTCGGAGCTGATCATCTCGGACGTCCCGCTAGAGGGAATACAACGAATTACCAGAACTGACAGAACCTCGGGGGATAGGGTACCCACCGGCAGTGTCAAACTCTAGTTTAGAGGAAATCAAGTTCCTGTACACCAAGGTAGCAGTGAAACCGTTCGTCCAGTTTAGCCAATGCTTCAGGTGCTTTAGGTTCGGTCATATGGCGCAGCACTGCAAGAGCCTACCTAGATGTTTCAAATGTGGTCGGGACCACAGCATTAACACTCTATGCTCGGGGCTAAGCTGTGCTAACTGCAAGGGAAACCACGCGGCTACGCACCCGCAATGCGAGGCCAGAAGGAAAGCGTATGCTATTCAAAAAAGCATGACGCTTGAAAAATTATCACGATCTGAGGTCAAGGCTAGGTACCCGGTACTCTTTGGTAGATCTCCACCCAACCCAGGGGACCCAGGGGAGTTTCCCCCACCCACATGGCAAAACGGCATCCTCCCCGAACGCCAAAACAGCAACACTGAGGCAGCTAGGGAAATTCACTCGGTTGCTTCGTTCGCCGAGGTGACCAAAGCCAAAAGAGCGGCAGCACGCAATTCGGAGTCGGCTAAGGCAGCTGCCAACATGGCAGAATGGAGGAACGCTATCAACGCAGATAGCCCACAGTTAAGTGAAAAATTCGTGAGAACAACGTCCGGGGTCTCATC